AAAAGGATGGTAAGGGATATACCAAACGTGAACCACAAGAAGAGTGTGCTATATTAATGTCAGAGTAGACTTAAGACATGGTATATTGCCAGAAATAATGAGGGACATTTCAAAAACGATCAAAGAGGCAGTTCATCAAGAAGGCATAACAATCCTAAATATACATCCACATAATAAAGGAAATTCAAAACACATGAAGCAAAAACTTAGAGAATCAAAAGGAGAAAAAAATAAATCAACAGAGTTGAAGATTACAACCCTCCTCTCATATTGTCAAAACAAGTAGACACAAAATTGGGGAGGTTGTAGGAGACTTGAATCACATTATCAATCAACTTGACCTAACTGACCCACCCAACAGCAAGAGAAGAACAACTTGTCTGGTGCACATGCCACATTCACCAAGATGTACCTTGTCATACACAAGGTCATCAGTCAGCAGACTTCAGCCTGTGGGGAAACCTAGCTCACTACTTATTGCTGTACAGCTTGCAGAAGAAGTGTTTTTATGTTTTTAAAGGGTTGTTAAGAAAAAGAAAAAGAATGTGCAACAGAGACCCTGTGTGGCCTACAAAGCTGAAAATAATTAGGATCCTGCTAAAAAATCTGGTCTATTTCTGTCTTTGTAGCTTTTTACAGAAAAAGTTTGTTGACCCCTCTGCTAGGCCATAAAACAAATATCAGTAAATTTAAAAGGAATGAAATCATACAAGCCTGCTCTCTGACCACAACAGAAATTATATATAAATAACAAAGAGATGGGAGTGCACCTCTATCTGATAGATGGGATGTTGCCTGATTCATGAATCATTTAATAAAGCCAATTGGATCTTTAAAAAAAAAAAAGATATTCAAAAAATCCCAAAATAGGGGCGCCTGGCTGGCTCAGTCAGTTAAGTGTCTGCCTTCGGCTCAGGTCGTGGTCTCCGGGTCCTGGGATTGAGCCCTGCATCGGGCTTCCTGCTTACTGGGGAGTCTGCTTCTCTCCCTCTCTCTCTCTGCCCCTCCCCACTGCTCATTCTCTCCCCCCCATAAATAAAATCTTTTTTTAAAAAATCTCAAAATAATTGGAAAATTAAGCATTATACTTGAATTCAGTGAAAATGGAAACAGAAGTTGTGGGGTGCAGCTAGATCAGTGCTTGATGGCAAATTCGTAGCTTTGATGCTCATACTAGAAAAGGGGAATGGTATAAAAACCAATGATCTAATAACTTAAGCTAGAAAAAGAAGAGCAAATTAAACCCAAAGTGTGCAGTAGGAAGGAAATTACAAGGCAAAAGAGGAAATCAATGAAATAGAATATGCACAAATAATAGAAAAAAAAAGCCAAAATTTGGCTCCTCAAAAACATCAGTAAAATTGATAAACCTTTAGTTGCACTGATGAAGAAAAAAGATAGGACAAGCATTACTAATATCTAAGAATGAAAGAGTGGTGTTACTACAGGTCCTACTTGACATTAAAAGAATAACATGATGATGTTATGAATAACTTTATGCCAATAATTTAGTCAGTTTTGGTAAAGTGGTCAGATTGCTTCAGCAATGCAAATTGTCAGTATGAAAACAAGTAGAAATAGAAAATACCTATTAAGGAAATGGAATTCATAATTTGAAATGTCACCAAAGAAAATTTTAGACCCTTGGCTTCACTGGTGCACTCTGTTGAATGTTTTAGGAAGAAGTAATACCAGTTTTGTTTTTAAAGATTTTATTTATTTATTTATTTGACAGAGAGACAGCGAGAGAGGGAACACAAGCAGGGGGAGCTGGAGAGGGAGAAGATGTGGGGCTCGATCCCAGGACCCTGGGATCATGATGTGAGCTGAAGGCAGACACTTAACAACTGAGCCACCCAGGCTCCCCAAGATTTTACTTATTTTATTTGAGAGAACAGGGCAAGAGAGAGAACACAAGAGCAGGGGGAGGGGCAGAGGGAGAGAGAGAAGCCGACGCCCTACTGAACAGGGAGCCTGACTCAATCCCAGGACCCTGGGATCGTGACCTGAGCCGAAGGCAGACGCTTAACGACTGAGCCACCCAGGCGCCCTGAAGTAATACCAGTTTTATGTGAACTCTGTGGATGGAGGAAAAGAGAGTACCCTAGCATATTTCATGAATGCAGAATTAAACCTGATACCCAAAGCAGACAAAAGGCATTGCAAAACCGTAGGCCAGTATTACTGCAGCCACTCCGACTGTCTAATGATTGGTGTTTGGACAGTCATGCTGTTCCATTTGTGTAACCTTTTTTAAAAAATTTTTAACCTGTATCTTTATATTTATTTATTTATTATTTTTTTAAACAACATTTGAGAGGGAGAGAAAGGGAGGAGGGGAGGGGCAGAGGGAGAGAGAGAACCTTTTTTTTTTAAGTTTTTATTGGGGGGGGAGCACACAACAGCAGGGGGAGGGGCGAAGGGAAAGAGAGAAAAAAATCTCCGTGGAGCAGGGAGCCCGACATGGGACTCAATCCCTGCACCCTGGGATCGTGACCTGAGCCGAAGGCAGATGTTTAACAACTGAGCCACCCATGTGCCCCTAGTTCTTGCTTTTTAAAATCTGGGCCTTTTCTGTCTTTAATTGAAATTATTCATTTGCATTTAATAAGCACTTATTGACATGGTTGAGGTTGTCTGCTATCTTAGACATTTTTTCCATTTGTTGCTTATTTCTCCTCCTCCTCCTCCCTCTTTTTCTTCTTCTTTTTGGTCTTTGGATTAATCCAGTCCTTTTTTGGGATCCTGCTAGAAAAACTTGTCCCATTTGGTCGATGGGCTCTTGTGGTCAACCCAGCCACTCACCCACTCTATGGCTGAGAGCAGGACACACAGAAGCTACCTCTAGTTGCCCTTGTCTTGCAAGTTCTTGTTTGGAAGAAAGCCTTGGCAAGGTGGGAGTCTCCCTCTAGTTCTTGTTTGCCTGGATTGTATGAGTTGTTCTGCAGGGCACTTAGGAGAGACAGCCATCTTATCCTGAAATTACTTCTGGTAATTATTTCTGCTGTCCCAAAGTATGTTGCTACCACCCACAGATATCCATCCACACTCCTCACAAGAGAAATAGGAAGATCTTAGGACCCAGAAGAAAACTGAGTATAGGGTCCGACTGGGGGGCCCCTTGCACTGCCCGTCAAAGGCCCCTGACAGTGTGTGCAGGTACATGCTCTAGGGAAGCCCCCGCTGTGCTGTTGGTTAGCTCGGTTTGACAAGGTGAATGGGGTTTCATAATAGGCGGGACTGTCTGGGCACAAGACCTGTGCAGAAGGACAAAGGTAGGAGAGTGCACTTTGTGTTGGAAGGAGGTGTCCTTGTGGCTAGAGCGGGACTGGGGAGACAGCAGCAAGAGCCAGAGGGCCGGGCCTGGAGGGGCGTTGAGCAAAGCAGCCTGGTGGGCGCCGGGGGAGCACTCACCGGCAGGGGCTTTGGAGCTGGGGTGGGAGGAACTTGAAGATGTCTGCGTTTTGAAAAAACGAGTTTAATGCAGCAAAGGCAAGAGGCTGTGAAGGGGGCGGGGGCAGGGCTGGATAGCCCGGAGCCTGTGTCAGGGACTCCCTGGCAGCCGGGCTTCACACACAGACAGATCGGGGCGTCTGCATTGTGTGCAGTCTTTTACTTTTCTAAATAAAAACACTAGAGAAGATAAATCCCATCTCCCATTGTAATCTCAAAGTACAGGTTTCACTTTGCTAAGGATACAGGCTTTATATTCTTCATTTTGTATCAAACAGTGAAAACTTTGTTGCAGACATTCGAGGCCCTGGGAGCCTGCCCTGTGAGACTCTCTGAGCAGGACAAACTGTGTGTAGTCCAGGCAAAGACCGCAAGAGCCTGGAGCTGGGGTGTGTGAGACGCAGAGGGAGGGCTGGGTCAATAGCAGTTTGCAGGGGTGTGCATGTGAGGGAGGTCGTGGCTTCAAGGATAAGCCTGGGTTGTTTGGCAAGGTGGGGATGGTGAAAGGGGGGCCAGAGTTGCTGAGGGCCAAGCATAGTGAGCCATCAGGAGTTTGACTTGCTAAGGTTGTAGTCTCTGAGAGGTTTTGTGTTCTTTTATGAGATGGTCAGTCAGGTGTGGGCAGGAGAGTAGACACGGGAGGCTCAAGAAAACAAAGTTTGTTATACATATGGTCCTAGAGACAGGAGGTGGTGTGGACCTCAGGCAGGGCCACATGGGAAAGTCCCAGGGGTGTCATGAGGCAGAAGACGGGTGGGGGAGCACTTAAGCCATGACCTTTATTGGGGTTTCCATGGGAAAGACAAGGCAGGGCGGGATGGACAGCTTAGGGCCACCTAGTTTGAATAATTTTAGTGGACTCTAAGCTACATGGGTGGTTCCTAGTTGCCTGGCCCCTGGCCCTGGGATGATGAAAGCAGAGGAAGATTGTTTCCTGGGATATGTGGGCCCAGAGAGGAGTGGTTGCTCTGTAGAGATTAGTTTGCAGATCACAGTAATGCTCTGGCTCAGCCCTGGGCTATCTTTAAGGATTGGCTAGTTCTGGGAGGGGACAGTCTTTCCCTAGCCAGAGGGGTTTCTTAAGATGTCAAAGATCTACAGAAAATGTATGCAATACAGAGACATCTGGGGAGAGATGCCTAGTGTTCAATCAGGTGGGGGTTGGACCCTGAGAGGGAGGGTGGGTTGTAGAGCTGTTAAATTTCTTGGGGTGGAGATACATCCCCAGTGCTAACAACATGGGAGACTTGGGATGTGTTGCCTCAGGGAGCCAAGGAGCAAGTGAGAGCATTGAAGGTGGGTCAGCCAGAGGGAACCACGAGAAGGCACAGGTCCTGCGCTGTGGAGGATCTGAGAAGTCCCTGCGAGCTTTGGAGCCAGACCCGGAGAGATCTGTTGAGGCAGTTCCTGGGGAGAACACCCTCCAGTGCAGGCTCGTGTCGGGGAAGGACTTCTTGGACTTTGGTGTAGACTTGCTGAAGGTGAACTCACACCACATGGGAGAAGTGACCCCTCATATCTTTGCTTGCAGCTTCGTGGCCGTCACCATGTTCTGGAAGTTTGACTTGAACACCACGTCCCACGTCGACAAACTGTTGGATAGGGAGGATGTGACACTGCGAGAGTTAATGGATGAAGATGATATCCTGCAGGAGTGCAAGGCTCAGAACCAGAAGCTGCTGGGCTTCCTCTGCAGGCAGCGGTGTATGGAGGAGCTAGTGAGCCTCATTACACAGGACCCGCCCCTGGACATGGAGGAGAAGGTCCGCTTCAAGTATGTACTCAGGCTGTGACAGGGCCCGGAGCCGGGCAGGGCTATGGGGAGGTGGTGGGTGGTGTTGGAGGGTGTCCAGAGCCAGGACTTTGGACAGAAAAGCCCACTTTAAACATTCGCCCCATCTGAGAAGTAAGGAGACCACTCCCCGTGGGGTTGGTTTTTGTGAGGGTTAAGATTTTAGAATGTCTGTGTATGTGATTTCTCATTCCAAGTTGTAATGAGTTACTCTGTATGTCGGAGTGTTTTGAGTGAAAATGTGCTGAGCGAAGACTGACCCCATGACTGAGGTGGATAGACTGCAGCAAATGGGCTGCACCCCAGCAGGAAGCAGGTCCCCGCCTGCTGAAATGGCCTATCAGGAGGGATGGGCAGCATCTCACCTCTTGACCATGGGAACTGCCCCACTGTGGGGTCTTAGGGTCAGAGGAAAGAGGCCATGTCATTAGTGGTACTGACCATTCTCAAAGTTTTTCCTGAAACGTTCCATTCAGCAGTTGGCTAAGATGTTAGGACATGACAGAAGGGAAGTGGTGGTGTGGTTAGGACTTGGGATGAGGGCAGAGGAGTGTGAACGAGGGGGACAGGGCAGAGTGGCAGCGGCTGGGGCTAGCGACACAGGAGTGGGGGCAGACAGGGCAGCCCTCAGGTGCTCCTGTGTCCATGGAGCGTCAGACAGTGTGCGGTGGTAAAGTCTTAGAACAGGCTTGGCCAACTGTGGCCCACAGGTCAAATCCTGTCTTTGTGTGGCCTGCAAGCTGAGAATAGTTCTACATTTTTAAATGTTGAAAAAAATCAAAGGAGTAATACTTTGTTACACGTGAAATTGATATCAAGTCCACATTTCAATTGTCCATGAAGAAAGTCTTGTTGGTAGGCAGCCACACTCAGCCTTTGGTGATTACAAGGACAGAGTTGACTAGTTACAACAGACTATCTAAAATATTTACTCTCCGGACCTTTACAGAAGTCTTTGTTGACCTTTGTCTTAGAGGGGAAAGAAAGCTGGAGAGGGCAACGAGAAGTGCCTGTGGCAGGGGACAGTCGATTTAGGGACACCCATTTAGGGCTGTCATTCCCAGCGTCTGATGGGGGGGAGCCGTGTAGAGGAGAGCTCTAGATGGAGGCAGGAGCTTGTTGGTGGAGGAGCCTGTGGGTTTAGGGCTATGGTGGCCACCTGCGAAAAGTCAGATAGAAGCCGTTGTACACGGCACATGCCTGGTCAGTGCCCCTTGTCTTAGCATCACTGTGGATGGCCCTCATCCCTTTTACCCTCTCACCCCAAATGTGTTCTGTGTGGTGATAAGTTACGTGGTCTCCCTGCATGCATAGAGGGCATCGGTTAGCAGGATGGGGAGCTGGGGTTCGGGCAGCGTGTTCTGGATCAGGGCAGAGGGAGCCCAGAGTGGCATCAGTGAGCCAGGGGAGGTTCATGTTCATCATCAGAGTTTGGGAGAAGTGAGTAGTGGATGTGTATGAAGCTAAGCGAAGAAGGCAGTGGGAGAACTTTAACTCGGGGGCTTAGTAAGTAAGCAGATGTGAGTAGAGCGGACATACCAGCTCAGCTGTGAGTGGTGTCCACATGTTCGTACAAGGTAAGCATAGGCCCTTGGTTTAAGTAAGAACTGTGCTGTGAGGGGCGCCTGGGGGGCTCAGTCGTTACGCATCTGCCTTCGGCTCAGGTCCTGATCCAGGAGTCCTGCGATCGAGCCCCGCATCGGGCTCCCTGTTTGACGGGGAGCCTGCTTCTCCCTCTCCCACTCCCCCTGCTTGTGTTCCCTCTCTCGCTCTTGCTGTCTCTCTTTCAAATAAATAAACAAAATATTAAAAAAAAAATTGTGCTGTGATTTTATAGAGCGAGGGTAAGGGGCAGGTGACAGGAGAGTTCTGTCTTCATCTTCCATTGTACGGGGTTGGTTTGTAACATCGGAAAGTGACAAATGAAGTTCATCTGTGTTTTACTTAGAAACATGGAGGTTAACCACAGAGCTGAGGACAGACAGGGGAGCAAGGGCACAGGAGGCAGGAGGCCACTCCTCACAAGCCCCGTCGAACAGAGTTTGAAAGCATGTGTACATATCGGAAATCAAATTTAAAAAATTAAATCAAAGATTCCTTTTTGAGAAAAAGATTCCTGCGTAGGATGGATGGGTAGATGGATGAGGTGGTAGGCAAGAAAGAAGTAGAGTGAAGGTTGTTTTTCAGAGATGGGGAAGAGACTAGACCAGGGCGGCACGCCGTCTCTGAAAGGTCAGACGGGACGTACTGCAGGCTTTGCAGGCCTGGAGCTCTGACGCGGTGGCGTACAAGCTGTCTGTGAGTGAGTGAGTGAGTGAGTGAGTGAGGCCGTTCTCCGGTCCCTTGCCTTACAGGAACCACGGCCTGTGCTTCTCCACTCCCGGCGACCGCCCACCTTGGCTGGCCTGGCCCTGTGCCTCTGAGGTGACCTGGCTGAGCAGTATAACTAGTTGCTTTCCCCTATAGGCTGGGTTATGGGGACACTCTTCTCCCCTGTAGTGGGGGATGCACCTGAGCTGTGCCTGTTCCAGAGAAGCTGCCCCTGGTGGTTTGAGGTCAGACAGCAGTCACTGCTGCTGCTCAAAGCCAGAGGCTGCTGCATGAGGGCTCTGTGGCGCAGCCCTGGATAGAGGAGCCAGTCACTTGGTCCAGCCTGAGAGCCGCAAGGAGGTCCTGGTCTTTTTCTTGAAGTTCCTGTCCAGTTTGCCTGCTGAGTTCTCAGCCATTTGAGGAATAAGACAAAAGAGTCAGCAGACAGAACACCAAGACAGCACTGTGGTTACTTGCAAAGTGCCGTGGGAGAGTGTGTTTTGTGGCTCTGGGCTGTGGGCTTCTGTGATCCAGATCGCAGAGTTAGAACTGCTCACCTGTCGGGAAACGGGGCTGCAGCAGGATAGCCCCCCAGAAAGGACGCCCTCCAGAAGACCCTGAGGTGCTACAGGTCAGAGCAGGAAGGATGGCTGAGCCCCGTAGCCTGATGACCCCCCTGGGGGGCAGCAAGTCTTGGCACAGAGGGCGGTGTCTGAAGGGGCAAGAGGGTTCCCTCCGCCCTCACTCTGATAACGCAGGGCCCACCTTCCGTGTTCCAGGACCTCGCTGTCATTGTCTTTGCTTCCCTTCCTGTGGGGAGTCGTATTCTCTAGTAGCTTCCTGAGGAGGAAGACCATGTGAGGGCCTGATAGGGCACTGCTCTCCTTTCACACTTGTTCGAACCTCCCTCTGGTTTAGGCTCTGCACGGCCAGCACTCTCCGTGCTTTAGAATAAGACTCCGCAGTTGGCTCCCCTTCCTGGCCTTGCCGGATGCAACAGGACTCCCAGGTTTTGTCTCCTCCAGGGGGCACTTGGGCCCTCGTCTGGTCCCATCACCCTGGAGTCTCCCAGTAATGTGAGATCACCCCCGGGGTCAGGACAGGGCAGTTTAAACTGGAGAGTTTTTAGGGGCTCCTGGGTGGCTCAGTCATTAAGTGTCTGCCTTCGGCTTGGGTCAGGATCCTGGGGTCCTGGGATCGAGCCCCGCGTCGGGCTCCCTGCTCCGCGGGAAGCCTGCTGCTCCCTCTGCCTTTGACCCTCCCCCTGCTTGTGTTCCCTCTCTCGCTGTGTCTCTCTCTGTCAAATAAATAAATAAAATATTAACAAAACAAAACAAAACTGGAGAGGTTTTAGAGTGAAGGCTCAGCTGTGAGCACGGAGACTCTGCATCCAGGCTTCTTGTCCCTGATTGTGTAGGTAACCCTGGGCCCTGTCAGCCCATCAGTTCATGGCCTGGCCCACAGGGAAACTTCCTGTGTTGTTTCTTTGATAATCTTCTTGCCTCCGGTTTGCCTTCTGTTTTCTCTTCCTGGGACCTGTAATCAGCTGTGAGACGCTTGAATTAATGCTTGCCTCATCTTCTTTTTGCCCTGAATGTCCCGTCTTTGCCCTTCTGTCTGCATCTGAGAGGCTTCTTCACATGCTATCTTCCTGTCCTTTTACTGATTTGTAAGCTTTCTGTTGTTTTTTTTTTTTAAGATTTTATTTATTTGACAGAGAGGGAACACAAGCAGGGGGAGTGGGAGAGGGAGAGGCAGGCTTCCCGCAGAGCAGGGAGCCTGATGCGGGGCTCCATCCCAGGACCCTGGGATCATGACCTGAGCCGAAGGCAGACGCCCAATGACGGAGCCCCCCAGGCGTCCCTCTATTGTATTTTTAATTGAAGAGGTCTTTCTTATTGTCAGCTCTTTTAACTCCAAGCCTCCATTTCTTGATCGTGGCCACTCTGTGTTGGGGCTGAGTGTTTCTGGTAGTTTCCTTCTGTTCTCCGAACGCTCTGTCATTGCTCTGTGTGCCTTGTCTTCTGGCACTTATTTGGTCAGCTCTTATGTCCCTTCTGAAAGAGAGGCACCAGAGCCTGCGTAAGGTTTGGAGTCTGAGTGAGGCTTGCTCATCATGCTTCCGCGTGGGCGATAGGTGGCCAGCCGCTTGGTTAGACGAGGATTGGTTGAGTCTTCTCTCTGTCCCACAGTTTCTCCAGAAAATAATCCCCCCTGCTCCTAGCTGTGGGACGAGGACCTGACAGCAGCCTGAGTCAGGAAGTTTTTTATTTACCAGGCCCCCTGTTTCTGGACGGTGTCCCATCAGTCCCTCAGCTGTGCCTGATGTTCCTGATTCAGGAGCTGCTCTGGCCCACCTTTTCCAGGGGATAACTTCTGAGTCCTGTGTGCTGGCAAGGGAGGGGCAGGAAACCCACAGCTGTCCTGAGCCAGGCCTTGTACCCTGCCTGGTAGCCGCTGGCTCTGTGTCCAGGCCTCTCTGGAGTGGTTTCCAGGGGACGCTCCCTCTGTGGTCACCTGAGACATAGCTTCCCTGGTGTGCCATACCAGTCCTCTGGGTCTTGCCAGGAATCATTTCCTCTCTTCTTTTCTTTTCTTTTCTTTCTTTCTTTCTTTCTTTTATTTATTTTTTAAAGATTTATTTATTTGAGAGAGAGAATGAGAGATACAGAGCACGAGAGGGAAGAGGGTCAGAGGGAGAAGCAGACTCCCCGCTGAGCAGGGAGCCCGACGTGGGACTCGATCCCGGGACTCCAGGATCATGACCTGAGCCAAAGGCAGTCGCCCAACCAACTGAGCCACCCAGGCGCCCTCTTTATTTCTTTTAAAGATTTTATTTATTTGACAGAGAGAGAGAGAGAATATAAGTAAGCAGAGCAGCAGGCAGAGGGAGAGGGAGAAGCAGGCTTCCCGCTGAGCAGGGAGCCCGACGTGGGACTCGATCCCAGGACCCTGGGATCATGACCTGAGCCGAAGGCAGACGCTTAACCATCTGAGCCACCCAGGCGCCCAGCAGTACCTGTTTTTTTGAAAAATAATTATAAAATACCAATAAAGAAAACCTCAGTCCCTCTACCTAGATATAACCTTAGAGGGCCAGTGCCTTATAGCTCATCTTGCCACATGTGTGCACGTTTGCTTGTATGTGGAAACCAGATTGGGGCCTTTCCGTGTGCTCTGGAAATGTTTCCTGAAGGAATAGTCTGTACTTTCCTCTGGGCCTTGATTCTTTTGTACCATTGGTACATGTTCTCTTGTTGTTGGGAGTCTGGTGGACACCTCTCTGCCTGTGTGATGTAAGGCCTTGCTCTGGCCTCCAGGGTCACTGTGGCCTGGCCCTCCTGCCCTGCATTCTGATCTTCTGCCCCTGGCGGCTGTGTGTTTTCCTCCATGCTGGTTTCATGGTGTACATTCATGGTGCTGAGGTGACTCATTTGATCCTTGTAACCATCCCATGAGGTGAGTGGGCACTGGTTACACCTCTCAGGGCCTGGTCCTGCATATTTAACTGGGCCACCTCTTTGTGAATGCAGCAGGTCTCTCACCCTTAGCCTGCCCATACGGCACTGTTTCTCTGAGCTCTAGAGGGTGCTTTCTCTTCTCTGGGCTGATGAGAAATGCCTGTCCCACAGCCAGACCTAGATTTCTCGGTTTCTCCCCGCTTCTACATTTAGTTGGCTGCCACGCTCTGCTGTTTCCTCTACAGTCTCTCTAACCCAGGCCTCTGTAGCCAACCCACAGTGACCACCTCGGTTTAGGCCTGTGTTAGGGCCTATGTTGGTGGCTGCCAGGAGCAGGAGGGTCATAGTGGCTGACCTTGACCCAAGGCTTACTGTTTTATGCGTAGTCTTGTGGGGTGGGTGGGCACTTGTACCCCCATGTTCAGAGGAGAAAGCCCGGACACAGAGAGGTTAGGTCATGTGCCTGAAGCTGCAGAGCTTGTCCTGTGGAGTAGCAGGTGTGCTCTAGACAGCTACCACACTCCTGTCTGCCCTGGCCCCTGTCACCCTCACCTGCATTCCCGCATGTACCTGGATACGGCACCAGGCATTATTATTTTTTTTTAAGATTTATTTATTTATTTTAGAGAGCAAGAGAGAGTAGGGGGAGGGGCAGAGGGAGAAGCAGAGGGAGGGAATCTCCAGCAGACAGCCTGCTGAGCGCAGAGGCCAGTGCAGGGCTCGATCCCACTACCCTGACATCATGACCTGAGCCAAAACCAAGAGTCGACACCCAACCGACAGAGTCACCCAGGCGCCCCAGCACCAAGCCTTGTTAGTGGCCCCGCTGTTGTGGGCCCTGTTCTGGATGCAGCAGGTTGTTGAGTAGCTGTGTCTGTCCCAGGGGCAATGGCAGTGACCCTGTGTCTATCAGATGGCAAGGCAGGGAGCAGAAGGGTGTCATGGGGTTCCATGTGATGGGATAAAGATTATTCTGTATCTGGTCATTTTATGTGTACTGGTATTTCTTACTAATAATTTGCCTTTGTAACATCTCATAACTGGTACTGCATCATAAGCTGCTGATGTGGCATATTTTAGCCTAGGGGCAAGCTTGGGTCTGTGCTTGTTGGTGTGCAGGGACAGGAAGGGCGTGCAGAGGGAGGGTGCAAACAACGGACTTGGCATCACTAACCGTGTTCACAGGAGGGTAGAGACCTGGCTGGTGGGTATGAGGACAGAGGTTTTGAGAGGGGAGAAACCAGAAGACTAAGGAGCGTTATTTAGAGAATGCAGTAGAGTCAGAAAATGTGAGATACCACGGTGTAGGGTGTGAGGAGCAAGAAAAAGGTATGTTAGACACACGGAGCTTGTCGTAGTCAGAAATGCCTGCTGGTCACAGGATATTCATATTTTTACTCCATTCCAGGGTCTGACCTGTGGACCTGCTTCCTGAGAGGCTGGTCATTCAAGCAGCTTCCTGAGAGCTGAAGAAGTCTAATTTCACCTCCAGTTGCTTGTATTGTGCCCTCTTAGGTATCCAAACACAGCCTGTGAGCTGCTGACTTGTGATGTGCCACAGATCAATGACAGACTAGGAGGGGATGAGACTCTGCTGAACCTTCTTTACGATTTCTTGGACCACGAGCCGCCTCTCAACCCTCTGCTCGCCAGTTTTTTCAGCAAGACCATTGGTAATCTCATTGCAAGAAAAACTGAACAGGTAAATAATCTGCCAAGCCCATGTGGTTTGGGGTGGCGGGCATGGCTGATGCTAATACATCTTGCTATCAGCTATCGCTGTGCAATGGTATCTTTGGGGCTTGGAGAATGGTGTTTCTGACTGTGCACTGGTATGTTTGGGGCTTGGAGAACGGTGTTTCTGACTGTGCACCGGTATCTGCGGGGCTTGGAGAACAGTGTTTCTGACTGTGCACCGGTATCTGCGGGGCTTGGAGAACGGTGTTTCTGACTGTTCCATGGGGCACAGTTGTAGCAGTGTAGGCTGCTGCTATGTGAGTTGGAATTTGATTAGGAAAGTGGCTTCCTGAAGATATTTCTGCTGGCTAGCTTAGGAATAAGCACCTCTTCCTGCCATCCCTGAGAGTTGCTCAGGACTCCAAACCAGGCTAGCTTGTCTTGTCCCGACCAGTCACAGGCATGAGGAACAGGGACATGCCTGCGACATGACAGGTTCTTAGGATGTCCACTTTCTAAGATCTGCTGCTCTGCTGGGGTGGCAGGTATTTATGTGTCTAGGACACTTATTGTTTCAAAGCAAATAAAAGAAAACTTACAGCATTAGGCTTCTGTAAAAACAGTGAATTCGTTTTGTTAGCTGGAGCATGGTCTTCTTGGAGTCCATTCTTGCTCCTGCCTGTATTTGTGCTTCGGCACCACCCACTCTGTGGACACGCAGGAAGGGCGTGCATTGTAGGGGTGCCTCAGGCCTGCCGCCAGCCTCAGCAGCCAGGCCTGGTGAGTCTTTCACCTTTTATCCCTTCCCACCGTCCCCAGTGGATTATTTCAAAACAAATACCAGATATCGTATGATTTTATTGTTAATATTACCGTGTATACCTCTAGAATACAAGGACTTTTAAAAATTCTTTTTTTTTTTTTTAAAGATTTTATTTATTTGTTTGACAGAGAGAGACACAGCGAGAGAGGGAACACAAGCAGCGGGGTGGGAGAGGGAGAAGCAGGCTTCCCGTGGAGCAGGGAGCCCGACGCGGGGCTCGATCCCAGGACCCTGGGACCATGACCTGAGCCGAAGGCAGACGCTTGACGACTGAGCCACCCAGGCGCCCCTTAAAAATTCTTTTAATTATAACCCTAGGAGGGGACAAGACTGCTGAGCAAATTGCATCATCACCTCCCAAAAATATTAACCATAATTGTACAGTATCATGAAATATCGAGTGAGGGAACAGACTGATATTTTATGTATATGTCTGGAGTTCTGAGAAGGTACAACCTGCAGGGCAGATCATTATTCACCTGAAGAAATTGTTGGCATGTTGTAAATGTTCGGTGGAATGTACCTTTCGCAGGATCCTAAATCTTAAGCTTTGCAAGGGACCTCAGAGGACTGTCTCACCTCAAATATTTTTCTGAACCACTCAGAGTGTAAGTGAAGAATAGGGGTGATGCAGGTGGTGAGAGAGGGTATTAGTGGTGGTAGTGGTTCTAGGAGAGGACAGTAAGTCCTCTCATGCTAGTGACTGGTGTGGGGGTGAGCATGGTGGTCAGTGTGGCTGTGGGGCGGGGGGTCGGTGTGGCTGTGGGGCAGTGGGGGTCGGTGTGGCTGTGGGGCGGGGGGGTCACTGTGGCTTTGGGGCAGGGGGGTCAGTGTGGCTGTGGGGCAGTGGTAGAATTTCTGAAAACCTTTGATTCTGGCCCTTGCCACTCAGCTCATAATTGCCTGTAGCCTGACCATATTTCTTTGCTACTTTCAGATGTTTGCTGTATTTTACTGCTTCTTATATTTCCTTCTTCTTCCTTTGCCCAGTGTTTCAAAAGAATATGAAATGCACTCTTTCAAAATATTTCTTCTATTGACAAACATGTGACACATTTATATGAATTTCAAGCAAGACAAAAATACATGAACAGTCTCCTGTAATATTTGAGAGGCAACCACTGTTGATTATTTAGTTCATGTTCCTCCCCAGTTCTTTTCCTGTAAGACATTTATTTTCACATAATGGCATCATACTCTGAATACTGCAAATTTTTTTTTTTCACTTAGAAATGGATTTGGTGTGTCTTTTCCTATATAGCTCCCACGTTCTTTCTAGCAGACGCAGTGTCCACAGTATTGCTATACCAGAGTTTTTTAGTAGTAACCCAGAAGTTGCTTTGTTTCTAGGGTCTGCTGGGACAGGGCCACAGTGTTTGATCCCAGTTTCCACAGAGACGGCTGCAGTGAACAGACATACTGCATTTTCTTAACTCTTCATTTCAGACCATTTCACACATTTATAGAGAAAATAGTTTATGAACCCCTGTGTTTCTGTCACACAGCTTTAATAATTATGTGTTTCTGACCAATTTTATTTTTTCTACATCCCCTATTTCCAAACCCCAACCCTAGATATTCCCATATGTGTTTCTTTTCTTTTTTTTAAGATTTTATTTATTTATTTGAGAGAGAATGGAGAGGGAGAATGCACAAGCAGGGGGAGTGGCAGAGGGGGAGGGAGAAGCAGGCTCCACACTGAGCAGGGAGCCCGATGCGGGACTTGATTCTAGAACCCTGGGATCAGGACCTGAGCCAAAGGCAGAGGCTTAATGGATGGAGCCACCAGACGCCCCTCCCATATGTATTTCTACAGGATGAGGACCCTACCAGCACTGGGAGTAGCCCAGAGTGTGGCTGGAGCATAGTTTAACTGTTCATTTGTTGAAGGACAGGTGAGGTGTTTGCACTTTTGTCTGTTACAAATCGAGCTGCTATGAACATTTGTGTATAGTAGTAGTTCTGTCTTGTCCATGGTTTTGGTTACCCACAACCAGCTGTGGTCCAGAAGCGGGTGATCCTCCTCCTGACATAGTGTCAGAAGGTCAGACAAAGCCTAACGCTACATCACAGGCCCAGGTCATTCACCTTCCTTCATCTCCTCACATAAGCATTTGTCATCTCACATTACAGGAGAAAGGGTGAATACAGCACAATAAGATGTTTTGGGAGAGAGAGGGAGGGAGCCTACATTCACATCACTTATAGTATATTGTTATAATTGTTCTAATTTATTATTGTTGTTAATCTCTTGTTATGCCTGGTTTATAAATTAAACTCTACCGGGCGCCTGGGTGGCTCAGTTGGTTAAGCAACTGCCTTTGGCTCAGGTCATGATCCTGGAGTCCCTGGATTGAGTCCCGCATCAGGCTCCCTGCTCGGCAGGGAGTCTGCTTCTCCCTCTGACCCTCCCTCCTCTCATGTGCTCTCTCTCATTCTCTCTCTCTCTCTCAAAATAAATAAAATCTTTAAAAAAATTAATTAAACTCTATCATAGGTATGTATGTATGTATAGGAAGAAATGGGAGTATATACAGGGTTCAGTACTGTTCAGGCATCCATTGGGGGTCTTGAATGTACCCCTCATGGTTAAAGAGGGGTAATTGTATAGCTTTGTTTGTGTGAATTGTTATATTTGAAGTGAATTTCTTGCAAACAACACATAGTTGAGTCATGTGGTTTTATCTGCTCTGTTGATCTGTCTTTAATTGGCATATTTAGGCCATTTACATTTAATGTAATTTTTGATATTTCAGGGCTGCCATTGTATTGTAGTTTTCTGTTTGTTCTCATTTTTCATTTCTCTGTTCTTTTTCCTGCCTCCTGTGTGTTACTTGACAATTTAAATTCCATTTTGATTTATCTATGGTGTTTTGTCATCTATCTCTGTGTAGGTTTTTAGTGGTTGCTGTGGGTGTCACATTATACTAGGTGTTACATCATAACTAGGACATGCATGTGGTTAGCTTGAATGGATACAGTGAAAGTGGTTGAGCCAGTTTACTAGCCCACTAGCAGAGTATGTCACTTCCTGTTGCTCACCAACCCTTAATATTATCACTCTGTTTATTCTAGTTATCCTGGTGGGTATTCTGGTATATAATATAGCATTGTGGTCTTTTTTTTTTTTTTTTAAAGATTTTATTTATTTATTCATGAGAGACAGAGAGGCAGAGGCAGAGGGAGAAGCAGGCTCCCCACTGAGCAGGGAGCCCGATGCGGGACTCGATCCCAGGACCCTGGGATCACGACCTGAGCCAAAGGCAGACGCTTAACAACTGAGCCACCCAGGTGCCCTGGCTGTCTCTTCTTTTTTGATTTGCAGGAATTCTCTATTTCATTGATATAAGTCTATTGATTTTGTGTTGCAAGCATCTTCCTGCTTTGGCTAGCCACCCTCCAGTGCTTAGTGTTAATGGTATTTTAATGAGCAGAGGTTCTGATTTTTATGTAGTTCACATAATTATTTTAATTTATGGTTGGTGGGGTTTTTTTTGTTGTTGTTCTGTTAAGAAACCTTTGCCTACCACAGTCATGAAAATACTCTCTGTATTCTTTTAGAAACTTTATAGTTTTACCTTTCATATTTCTATCTGTAATTTACTTGAGACTGATTCTTTTTTTTTTTAATGTTTTATTTATTTATT